TGGGGATTGACCTGTCCTGTGTTACAGACCATCTTGATCGAGTTGATTAAGGATTTGGACTAGTTCCGGCTCGATGCTACGAGGGTCGTCCTCTGTTATCATTGATAATAGGTCGGTTGCCGATTCGTCGGTCTTCGACTCGATTTCAACTCATTTCCCCATACTCAACCTAAAAGGCTTTAGCCCTGGTGGTTTTACTGTTTGTTAAGGGTTTCACCCGGACTTTTATTGAATGACCATTTGACAAAGGTACKGAGTATTTAATTGAGTTTGGTTGGGACGRCGATTGGGGCTTGCATKGCTAAAGCAAAGGGGTATGAGCATAGAGAATGRTTGGGGTTGACTCCGTGTAGTGCGTGTTTTGTCGATTGATTCTTGGTGTGGTTGCAGGTATGTCCTGTGACTCGGAYTTTGGATTTGGACTGCCTGCGATTCCATAATACATATACATGGTTGTRAGGAGTCCCACTGTGCCTGTGAGAAGTGATCGTCATAACTTTATCCCCTTTTGCATGTATGCGTGGGTATACGTACGATGGGTATTCRAGRGGCCCAAAGGGCCGTGTTAATAGCCGCGTGGAAGTTGGGGCTGAGGGACARGGAAGACCCTCCCTTCTGCCTARTTGCGTCTTGGGGCTTTCTTAGTCGGACGTAGGTCYTGGGCCGGGATTCAAGGTCCTTGTCCAGGACATCCCAAGCCCTAGGCCCTGAAGGGGAGGGGTCTCCCCTCGCATAGAGCCTATTTACTTTGGCCGGYGGGGCACTCCGCCCGAAGAGCGGAAATGTCGCGAGGGCYGAACSGCGTGTCTTTCARCCGTTCAATATCGTGAGGGGTAGCCCCTCGCKATGAGTTCCTTYAGCCATTCAATATCGCRAGGCCGGAGCCGCGGTTACCACGTATSAGTGGCATCAGTGGTCGGTATAGGATTGGCCTGCGGCCGCTCAGTTTTATATCAGAGCCCTGCGCGCGACGTCTCGCCTCCCCAGCATCTAAAAGYTATGGGATCGCCGGGCCCGCGCGTAGGCGCAGCGCTTGGGATTATTGCAGGCCRCCGRCACTGCCCATARAGGGGAAATGTGTCCCAAGGCCATGAATTTTTTTGTTTTAAAGGCCAGGGGACCTTTGCCCTATCCCCTCTTCTTGGGTTYGTTCGAGTTTTGTTGCTTCTTAGAGATTTTTATGGTTGGACGTTGTAGTCCGTGGCAGCCGTCAAAGTCAAACCCCTTGACTTTCGCCCAGGCCCCGGGGAGGACTCACCCCTAGGGCCGCGAGAGACGACTACCACCACAKGCATGGGCCTGTGTACCACCCACTCTGCATATGGGTGCAGAAGAGGGTGTGTGGTCTCCAACCGCGCATGGCGGTTGTCTGGCGTCGAGAGATTAACCCTCAAGGCGTATGTCAGCCGAGACTTGAGTGTCGAGTGCGACCCTCGAGAGTAACGAGGACCGCGTGAGTATGGGTACTACATAGTACGCCACCATTGCGACCGCTTGTGTACGCTTGCATTGCGAGTCGATATGAGTTAGCCCTGCGTCCGCGCGGGTTTATACTAAGTCTTGCGCGTGACGCTTGCTTGATTTCCGCATCGGAAAGTTATGGGTTGGCTACCGAGGGGCTAGGAGCGTTGTCGCGTTGTTTGTGTTGTGTCGTGCTGTATGTGCGTGTGCGTGTGTTTTATTTTTGTGTTCGTAAAGTGGCGTGCGCGTGGTGTGTGGGATGCGTCCTAGTCGACCGACGACGAGCCGAGCTTGGGACTTCAGCCCCCCAAGATGTCAGTTCACGTGCGGGTCCGATAGGCGTATTACCGCGCGTACCCCCTATGCTACAACGAACGAGAAACGCCCTCGGCTGGTCTACCTCTGCGATTGCAACCGAGTAACTTTCGTACTGTGGACTGGTAGCTCGGCGGGGATACGCCTTCCGAAGGGAGGTGACAGCTCCCGTAAGGTGGAGGTAAGCTGTGCCTCGTGTAGGCCCTATCCTGTCGTAGGGGCTCGCGAGAGGTATGGCTGGCGCACTCGGTCGGAGCGGCCTAAGGAAGCTCCATTTGTGTGTCCGTGACGAGGTTGGTCCAACTCCTGCGTGACGCGGCCGAGAGGGTCCCGCGCTGCCGCGTGCGGTGCTAGACCGATGCGCTTGACAGGTGGCGCCGTTGCCGGGGATAACGGAAGCCTACCGTTGTCCCAGGTGGAACCACATTCGGGTATGAGAGTAAGCGAGAAATTAGGCATATGAGTGAATAAGAGAAGGACTATGAGATGTATGTAAGGTGATCTAAGTGACTATGGGTTGGATGATTGATTGATTGGCGGCTTGGTTGACAGCTTGAATGAAGTAAGTATGTGGGGAAGTCCTATGGGGAGGTTAGGTGTTATCTAGGTGAGCCCAAAGGAAGTAGGAGAAGGAATGCCTGCCAGGTTTAGAGTGTGGGGTGTTTAAGGTGGTCAACCCGATAGGGTCATGAAAGGTTGAGTCGCTGAGTGGGGTCCTCTGTCCCATCGTCTCTTATAACAGAAAGTTTGAAGCCGGAGGTGATCGGTTAAAATGCCAGAGGAGATGGCAGACGGTGGGAGAAAGCTCGTGACTCTCGACGACCTCATCGATGCCGTGGACAAGCGCGAGAGGGCGCCAAGTAATGTCCCGAAGGTCGAGACATTTCACTTCAAAGGGGATCGGGTATCTGATTGGTTGGATCTGACAGAGCAGGCGCTGGTGGGACTGTCAGATGAGGTTAAGCTCCAGCGGGTTCTGAGGTATGTCTTGCACAGTCACCATCGGGAAGTAACTAAGGTTGTGGACGCCGCCGGTGGCAGTTGGGCAAAGTTTGGAGACCTAATGCGAAGGAAGTATAGGCTGGGGGACGGCCTGTTGACCATGGCCGACTTGGAGGCCATGAACAAGGAAGACTTCTCTACCGTTGGGGCGTTTGGGCACGAGTTCAAGAAAAGGGCGAGGAAAGTGCACGGGATTTCTGAGGAGGCGCAGTGCGCCACATTTTTGGGGCTGCTTACAGGCTCGGAGGCCACAGAGCTGACGAAGTATGGGAAAGGAAGCGAGAGGCTCACCTGGGAAACCATTGACAAGGGAGTGGAAGAAGGGAGCCTGGACCAGGTGGAGCAGCACCAAATGAGGCTGCAAAGGCGCAAGAGGAAGGAGAGGGATGCTACTGCATCCGGGACCCCAGGGGTGAAGAAAATAGTCACGGACGTGTTGGCGGCACTGGGGTATGATAGCGAAGCAGAACTACAGAAAAAAGTGGTGGCAGTGGCCCAAGGCCTGGCGTCAGGAGTAGGAGATGAGGAGGCAGGGCGCGAAGACTACGGCGGAGGGGAGACGGGCTCCCAAGCCCTGACTAAGGCTCAGAGGAAGCAGCGTAATCTGCTACTGGGGGGACAGGGATTAGGGAAAGGGCAGACTCCCCAAGACCTTGCCGCACCACCACCTGTTGCCACGGCTGCCCCAGCGCCCGCGCCAGCCAGATCATCGCATATGGGGCCGCCGCCATCTTGTGGATACGGGGTGCCGTATTGCCAATCCACGCCCTGGCCCAGTTGTAACCATTGCGTCTCGTGTGGAGGGAGTCAGGCCCACGCGGGGCACATGGTCCCCCATTCAGGCCCATCCGCAAGTATGGGCCCCCCGAGCTACCCGGCAGCTCAAAGCCAGCCCATGGCTCAACCGCTGCCCTCCCAACAGGCCTCGCAAGCTAGTGTGGCCGGGGGAGGAGGCCAAGGACAAGACGGGCAGGGCAATGGGGGCCGGGGCCAAGGAGGTAGAGGAGGGGGCGGCCGGGGGTGAGGAGGAAATGGTGGAGGCCGTGGAGGAGGCTGGAATGGTCAAGGGGGTCAGAACCAAGGTGGCCAAGGCAGCCAGGGAGGGGGCGAAGGGTACGGGAGGCCCCGCTTCGACTGGCGGAGCGCAACTTGTTGGCATTGTGGCGAGGTGGGCCACACCGTACGATTCTGCCAATAGCGGCGATAAGACGAAAAGGAAGGATTAATCTCCACCTGTATGGACGGGGATATATACGACCGGTGGGGAACGCACATTGACCCCAAGACCCCAGGAGGAATCAGGCAGGAAGCCCTCAGGCGAGCAGCGGCCGGGCCTCCAGCAGCCCCGACAATGTTCAAGATATGGCAGGAAAGGTAAGACCCCGGTGTAAGGGTCGAGGAGATTGTGGATGAAAATGAGGAAGTAACTCAGCGGTTGAAGGCGGGGACTATAAAGGAGGAGCCCATAGTTGTTGAGTCTGACGATGAGGCGCAGGAAGTGGTGAGAGAGTCAGCCTCGACCATCCTGGAGAGGATGGAGGACCTGCTTGCAAAGGTCGGCAGGTATCAGGAACGACTAAGGGCAATGTGTGAAAAGGCCCGGGAATGGGAAATGAGCCTTCCGGAGGTGATGCTCCATGGGTCCGGTCCGGAGTCGTCATCAGGACCGCAAGGATGTCCAAGCGTGGCGACAGCCGGGGCAGGTCCGATGTCAGGGATGACCTTTAGACCCCCTACATCGCATGGAAGGGTACCACAGGCCGCGCAGACTAGGGGCCAAAGTAAGGCTACCACCAGTCAAGGGCCTAGCCAGGCACCCAGTCGGGCGCCCCCTCGAAAGGACCCTGAGCCCGAACGAAGAAAGGAAGTGGTAGAGGTTCAAGAAAAGGAAGATGAGGGTGATGACGAAGAGGACGAGAGGCTCCGGCAGGAAGAGGACCGGAGGGCGGAACAGAGGGCCAAGAAGAGAGGGGCTCAGGGAGGGGTGGAGCCGACTTTGCATGATGGCGTGCCAAAAAGGAAGAAGTACGCAGTCCGGCTGGAGGAAGGCTTTGACGTGGAGCGAATGGTGGATAAGCTACTGAAGGGCCATAACGATCTGATGAACTTAAAGGACATTTTGACCTCAGCACCAAGGCTCCGGGGCGAGCTGAAAGGGCGGCTCTCGCGAAGGTTAATGCCCAATGTCCACCTGAGCTCAATTCTGCCCAGGGAGATAAAGTGGACAGAGGCGGGCACCAGGATGGATTGGAAATGTGTGGCGTGTAGGTTGGTGGACTTCAAGGTGAGGGACCAGCCGAGCATTGCAATGGTGGACACGGGCGCGGAGATGAATATCATCCGGGAGCGGGACGCGACGATGTTAGGGTTGGAAGTTGACCATTCGGACCATGGTGTGCTGCACGGCGCCAACTGCAAGGCCATTTTCTGCGGCACCGCGTCCAATGTGATGGTGGAGATTGGGGGAGTAAGAGCGCAAACGTGCTTCTTCGCCATGCCCGATGTCGACCACCCTATCCTCTTGGGGAGATCGTTCCTCTGCCGAACGGAGACCTTGGTCTTCAACAGGCATGAGGGGACGATGATCCTGGCTCTATCCGACCCGGCCTGCGGAAACTACGAAATTATTAAGTGCTGAAACACAGGGCCCGGAAGTGGGAGGAACACGCTCAACCTCGGCTCCTTTACCTTCGAGGAGTCTGAGTACGCGCGACGGAGACTCCGGGAGGAGCACGAGGAGGAAGGAGCAAGCGAGGTGTTGTCCTTGAGCCTTAATGATGTAAATAAGGCAATGGAGGTGGTGGCAGCGCACGATATGGCGGACCCTAAGGCTATAAAGGCGTTGAGGGAGCAGGTCCTGGAAAATCCCCAGGTGGGAGAAGTGGAGCTGATCTATCGGCTCCCAGGAAGGAAAGGAGACCCTGCGATGGCCCAGGCCCGAACGACAAGTCGGCCTTTTTTAGGGGAGGGCTTAAGCAGGGTTCCCAAAGGCGGTACCAGACCATAGACAAGAAGTGCCGCCCGGTCCCCGTGCTTGTCACGGAGGATGAGGAAGCCTACTATGAGCGGGAGCGAGGGCTGATAAGGCGTATGCGGGAGCGTGCGCATGCAGGACCGTGCCGCATCAATAGTGAGAACGAGGAAGGGTTGATAATTGACGAGCCTGGCTTTCTGTCGCCACAGGAGAGGACCTTGATGGTGGAGACCATGAGGAGGAGGCATTGCGCATATGCGTTTAATGATGATGAGCGTGGGAGGTTGGACGTGGATAAGATCCCGATGATACGAATCCATATCGTCCCACACGAGCCGTGGAACCTGAGGGGCGCGCGGTACCCGAATCCGGATGAGGAGAAGAACGTGGTGGATTACTTGGATGGGAAGATGAGGACGTATGTGGCAGATTACTCCAGTGGACCGTATGCTTCCTCTTGGTTTTGTTCTATCAAGCCGAACGGAACGCTGCGGTGGGTGCAGGATCTGCAACGACTGAATGCAGTGACGGTGCGGGACGCGGGAGGATTGCCGAACGCGGACGCCCTGTCAGAATCATGCGCAGGAAGGCCTATAATTTCACTTATAGACCTTTACTCTGGGTATGACCAGTTTCCTGTGTACCCACCGGATAGGCCGGTGACGGCGATGCATACGCCAAGGGGGCTGATCCACATGAACGTGACGCCTCAGGGGTGGACTAATGCGGTGGCGATGGTGCAAAGGCATATGATTAGGGCCATGCAGACGGTTAGTCCACATATTACTCAGCCCTACATTGACGATTTGGCGGTCAAGGATCCAAAGGAGAAGGAGGAAGATGAAGTGATGCCAGGAGTGAGGCGGTTCGTCTGGAAGCACGTCCAGGATATCGATCAGGTTTTGGGTCTGCTGGAAGAACACAACCTGGCGGCGAGCGGCCCCAAGTCGAAACATTGTATGAGGGAGGCCACGATTCTGGGCTTTGTCTGCAACGAGAAGGGGCGGAGGTCAGACGTGAAGAAAACGGATAAGATCCTAGAGTGGCCAGTCCCCTTCCAGTCGATAACGGATGTGAGGAGCTTCCTTGGGACCTGCGGGTTTTGGAGGAGTTTTGTGAAGGACTTCGCCACCAAGACGGAGCATTTGAGGAAGCTGGTGCGTTGGGATTAGGAGTGGGTCTGGGGCGAAGACCAGGAAAAGGCTGTGGAAGGGATGAAGAGAGAATTCAAGGAAGGAGGCTTAGTGTTGGGAGCGCCGAATTACGAGGCTACGGAGGAGAAGCCATTCGTTGTCGAGACGGACGCTGGGCCAACTGCCTTAGGAGGGGTCCTGATTCAGGCAGATGCGGATGGGAAGGAGAGGCCGTTAAGGTTTGAAAGTCGCACCGTCAATACAACTGAGAGGAATTACTCCCAGTTTAAGAAGGAGACGCTGGCAGTACTCCATTACCTAAGAACCTTCCGGAACTATATCTTTGGCAGGAGGCTCATTTTGAGAGTGGACCCTACCGCGCTGGCGTGTTCCCTGAAAAGTTATACTCCATCTGACCCAACCATCGCGAGGTGATTGACTTACATTTGGATGTTTAACTTTGAGTTGGAAAGGATTCCCGGGGACAGAAACAGGGCAGATGGATTGAGCCGTATCAACTGGGACGGGGCGAATCAGGAGTCAATTGAGGATACCCCACCAGTCGACGGGTTCTTGGACCAGGAGAAGGACGTCCGCCTCCACATAAATGAATGGTCGCTGAGGGTGCCTAGCTGCGTCACGCATCCTATATGGCTAGCACCAAAGGGGTACGAGCAGAAGGAGGAGTTGATCCTCAAGCCCTTCCAGGAAGAAGATCCGTGGGGGAGTAGGGATGTTGGCTGGATGATGAGGTTGGCATTGGCAGGGACACATAATGTAGCGGAGGAGGTAAGGACGATAGAGGAAGGCCCAACCCAGGTAGAGGAGCATAAGCAACTAATGGGGGGAATGTACTTGCTCACCAACACGCTCCTGCAGGGGAACTTTGACCAGAGGAACGCAACTAGCTCCGAAGAGGGCGAACTTCTCATTCTTGAGAGCCAGGATGACGAGTTCGAAGAGGGAGAGATTAGGGAGGCCTTCCGTGCTGGGGTTACTCCTGTCGTGCGAAATGAGGGATAGGAGCACCAGTGCTAAGGCCCAGAAGATGAGGCATCTCTACGTAGTGAGAGATGACCATTTGTTTATAAAGCGACAGGTTGGGAACCCCAAGAGGATCGTATGCGGGAGGAACCGACAGATCGATATCATAGCAGCCTTACACGATGGTATAGAAGGGGGGAACATAGGGGTTAGTGCCACGTGCGCAAAGATAAGTGAGCTATACCATTGGGATGAAATGCTGACTATGGTCATCTAGTACTGCCAGTCCTGCGTACCCTGCCAACAGAGGTCAGCGCAAAGGCCGGGGGAACCTCTGCACCCCAGACTGGAGAGGGAAGTGGGTGCAGTCGTATACCTGGACCTTTTGTTCATGCCACTTGGGGAGGACGAAAGTAACTATATCTTCGACGCACGGGACAACCTTACCGGGTCCGTGGACGGTCGGGCTATTCGTACGAAAACCGGTCCAGTTTTAGCAAGGTGCATAGAAGAGTACTACTTGCGCTATCCATTTGTCAGAGAGTTTGTGATGGACCGGGGGTCGGAGTTTACGTGTAACGAGGTGCGGACCTTACTTGCGGCATACGACGTGGTAGCAAACTACACGACTGCCGCGCACCCCCAGGCAAACGTGCCTATGGAAAGGGGGCATAATACCATCACGAATCTCTTGGCCAAATGGACTGAGGGGAAGCCTAACCAGTGGCCGAAATTCCTGAGAGCAGCATTCTTCGTGGAAAATGTTACAGTGAAAAGGACTACCAAGTATGCGTCAGTCACGCTATGGTATGGAAGGCATGCCACCTTTCCCATAAAAGCTTTATGAAAACGTGGAGGCGCCAGGACTTGGAAGTGAACCTATCCTTTGAAGAACTGCTCGATATACGGGCGCGACAGGTGGGAGCCGCTGAAGAAAGGCTACGAGAGGCCGCTGGTCAGGTAGAGAGAAGTCGTATGGAGGACAAGATGAGATGGGACCAGATGGCCCGAATAAGGAAGGATCCGCTGAAAGTCGGAGATGTGGTGCTGCTGTATGACTCCTCGTTGGAAAAGCAATGGTCTAGGAAACTCGACAAACGGTGGCTGGGGCCCTATAGGATCGTGCGGTGTGGTGAGTTTGGGGCCTACCAAATCGAAGAGCTGGATGGTGCGGGGTGGTAGGACTGGGTATCAGGGACAAGGCTGAAGAAGTTCGTGGCCAGGGGATAGGTAAGGGGCCATGAGACCTCATTGGGAATAAAGTCTTGCCTAAGTACTACCTAGGTCAGGTAATTAGATAGGGGGATGATTGGGGTGGATAGGTGTAGAAGGTATATGGGATTCCCCTAGGCCAGTGGCTCAATAGCTGACCCTGCTGTGTGCTTGGTTGTTGTCTCTCGCCTGTTGTTCAGGTCTGACTTTTCGAAGGCAGTCATGCAGAGGGGCGGGAGGGACACACGGCCACGCCAGGGCCCCAGAGGATGGAGGGAAGGGGCGAGCAGCATGAGCCGCCTAGGAGGGAGCCTACGCCTGAGTTTGATGACGACAACATTGAGCTCTTCTTAGACGTATATCGGGACCATGCGGCACAGAGAGGGTGGTCAGTGGCAGACAGGATTCACCACTTGAGGAGTGTAGGGTAGTTCTAGGAGCCTGTCGCTCAGATATGCGAGGAGGCCCTGACTTGGCCAGATGTGGAGGCCGGGATGCAGAGGTTGAGAGCTTCCCCTAGGGGGCGTGATGACGTGCCCATTCGATTGGAGGACGGGAACGCGGATGAGTTCATCCCCGCATACGAGCACTACATGTTGAGTCTGGGGGTTGCGTGGGAGGAATGGGTACAAACCCTACTTATCTGGACGAGGCAGGCAGAGAGGCAGGTGGCCAAACAGATTCGGGAGAGGGCTCGAGACTGGGAGGACTGTCAGGCCCAGCTTAGAAGGGTGTTCGGACGGCCACAGCACGAGAGGCACGAGCCCAGAGTTGAAAGGCGGCGGCGAAGCAAGAGGCCAAGGGAACCGGCACCGAGAGAGGCGAGACTGGCCGGAGAGAGGAGGGGAGCCCCAGCCCAGCGGGAGGATGAGCCTGCAGGGCCCGCATTGGCAGAGGAGTCGTTCCCTGCTTGTGGCCTCCGGGCGGTTGAGTTCCGGCAGATTACGAACAAGGAGTTGAGGCCGCCCTCGCCACTGCCATCAACGCAGGAGCTGGATATACCAAGAGAGACGCCATTCCGAAGCTTAGCGACTCATCTCGATGTATCCCAATGGGAGGCCTCACGGCTGGGAGAGGGCTCAGTTGAGCCGGCATGCTACGTGCCATTGGAGGAGCCCCTCGACCCTGAGCTGGAGACAGATATGCGAGACCGAGAGGAGCCGCAGGGTCCTGAGATGGCAGCCGAGTGGCCGGATCCGGTACGACCTCAGGGTAGAGAGGTGATCACGGTTGGGGACGATACCCCTCCATGCTCCCCAGCTCCAGAGCCAGCACAACGTTCATGGCCAGAGGGGATTCCTGAGCCAGGCAGTGAGGAGATTCCGGAGTTTCCCCCTGAGGCCACCACTGTGCCTGAGCAGGAGGCAGAGGCGGAGGACCAGGGAGTGTGTGAGAGAGCAAGAGTGGAGGCGCCCTTTGACTTGCCATCGGCCACGCACGTGGCCGAGGGCCCAGTTATCGAGGAGCCCATTCCGATGGAGTCACCGCCGGCAGTGCCACGTACGAGCGAGAGGATGAGAGCCGAGGTGTCGACGTGAGAAGGCCAGGGGTCGCGAGCGGGAAGAGCCCCAAGAGAGACCCGCGAAGAGAAGTCCGCCCGAGTGCGGGTCCGTCTGGACGAGATACACGCAAGACAGGCGGAGATGGAGGCGGCGGGGATAGAGCCGACACCGCCGGTCGGGCCCAAGACGAGTGAGCAGAGGATCGACGAGTTGTGGACTAGGTATGAGAGCCAGAGGGATGCAGCCCGCCAGAGGTCACGAGAGGCAGGACGGGCGGACGAGGAGATGAGTGAGTTGAGAGAGATGGGGGACTTGGGGTTCTCCGCAACCAGGCACGCGATTGAGCGCATGGATCGGAGGGTATGCGAGACGACAGTCACATCTTTCTAATGGTATAATCTACTCAGCAATGAGCTCAGGGTTAAGGAGTTGGAGGTAGAACACCTGACCACTCAGCTTGCCGAGGAGAGGGCGAGGATCCAGGCCAGAGAGGTTGAGTGGGAGAGGAGATTTGGGGAGATGGCGACCGCTATGGATAGGCTCTCAGCAGCCTGGGAGGCTAGCCAGATGAGGCCTAATAGCCAGGGCTGTGGGACGCAGGCGCCGCCGAATCAGGAAGTAGCAGTGGAGGTCCGTCGTCAGGCCGAGCCGATGGAGGAGGCGCCCTTGGACGCAGTCGAGGAGGAGAGTGGCGCGCAGGAGTCGCTTATGGCTATGTCCACAGAGAGGAGAAGTTCGCGTTTGCATGAGCTGGCGGCAGCCATGGGGATAATCACTCCACAGGAGAGGCCTCAGAGACTCGATGCTCCAGAGCAGGCCCCAAGGTTGGGAGAGTTGAGGGCGGAGCTGGGCTCCTGGGCCACGGGGACAGAGTCAAGAGGGTCTGACTCGCGACGGCAACAGCAGCAGCAGGAGGTCATGAGTGAGCCCACCACCATGATGGGCTCTCAGCCGTCAGGCTCATGCAGGGATGAGGTGGTGGTTGTGGCAGAGAGGGCTCATGGGGAGGGACCCCGAGGGTTGGATATGCCAGACTGCAGGCCAGTGAGCACAGTTGAACGAGGAAGTGAGGGTGCTGAGGCTATGGAGCCCGGACCTCAGGGCCATATGGGATTGCCCTCGTGTCATGAGGTAACTACTGAGACCATGGGGACGCCTTCAGCATCGAGTTCGCAGGGGAGAAAGAAAAAGACTGCCAGGTGGCACCATACCTCCTGTTTTTGGTGCAAGGAAGAAGGGCATAGAGCCGTGGACTGCCCAGAACTCCTAGAGGATAAGGCCGAGGGGCGAGTTGCGGAGTTCAGTGGCAAGTTCTACGACAGGCAGGGCAAGATAGTAGAGCGAGCTCCAGATGGGGGCAGGGCTCAGTTGTATAGGCAGGACCAGGAGGAATTGTGTAAGTAGGGACCGGTCTGTCTATATATGGGTAGGACTAGAGATCCTTGACACACACAGGGCGGGGTTAGGGGTGTACATATTTTGAGTCAGTCGAGCGGGTCCTAGATGTGTGTGTGTGTAGGAGTGGTGGGATGAGTTTCTATCCGATTGTACATATGCGTTTGACTCTTGTTTGCTTGTTTCCTCTTGAGTCTCTTCGTGGGCTACGGCCCGGGGATAGAACTCAGTTGTGTGATATATGATACCATTTAGTTACATTTGGCTTTGTGATTCAGAAGCTATTGCTGCTTTGGGTAGGATCTGGGAGTTTATAGCATTCGGGGTGTGAGTTTTCCCAGCAGGGGAGGACAGGGGCTAGGTATTCTGTGGATGATTAGGCAGGTGTTATGTTCCCGAGTGTATTTGATGAGTGTACAGTGGGGTTATGAGCCCTACTCAGACAGGCGGGGTATTGAGTTGAGTGCTTGTGTTCGATTGTTGGGGGAGGCATTTTACTCCCTGAGTGTATTATGAGTTGAGATTCTATTGGACTTGTCTTGTGACGATCACTATCACTCTCACATGTGTGGATTTATCTCGATGAATATTTGGCTTTATATGAGAGATGTACAAAATACATCTTATGAGCATGATTGTGTAAATTGTAAAGCTGTCTACCCTCCGGTATACTCGTGCGATCTGCTGCAAGCGGACGAAAGGGCAGAGTATAAGGAAGGGAAGTGCAGCTTGTTCGTGAAAACTGTGAGAATCCTACGGGATTGATGGATTTAGGAATTTGCATGTTTGGCCATACTAAACATCGTTGCCTAAATCGTATAAGGACCCAGAAGGTGGTCCCTCAGTTTGAATTGTTTGATGATTAAGACCCCCTTTATGGTTCTGGAGAGTGGGAATTATATGGTATGGAGGCCCCTTCATGGTTTTTGGAAGAGGTCATGTGAGGAGTCATCCCATACAAAAAGGGGATGACCGTGAAATCTTTTATGAGAAGCACCCCTTACCAAGTAAGGGTGGATATAAGTTGAGTGGTATGGAAAGTATTGTTTGTGTTGATGAAGTCTGACGGGAGGGAACCATGTTTGGTCGAGATGTTTGAAAAGGGCGAGAGATGCCTCAGGATGGGCGACTGCTGGCTCTGATCAAGTCAGGAGCTGCAACCTGGTGGATCCGGCGGAGAGGTTGTTTGTGATTGAGCGAAAGATGCCGTGCTTACTACGGGAGAGCCGGTAAATGCCTTCAGACCCCTGCGTAGTCCCGCAGCAGCCTGTGAATTGTTTGTGATGCCCCGCCTGGCCACCTGTGCTAGTTATGAGACATATTTAAAAGGAATACCAAGCTAACGGTAAAGTTTAGTGCCACCTGGGCGCAACCCCTAGTGGATGGCTGTTAGCCGGCACAACCTGGCTGCGGGCCCGCAAGGTGAGAGTTTAAGGGGAGTTGCCCGCCCCAGGGAAATAACCTTACAGGATAAGAGTTGAGTCTTTTGGAAGCCCTGATTGATTGATTATCAGGGACATACCTACCGTTGTATAACCGATGGGAGGATACTGCCGCTTAGGTAACAATGCGGTGGGCCGTAGACCTGGCTCAATCACCGAGGCTATGGTGGGCTCAGATGGAGACCTGACGTTTCTGTACTAGACTGCAGAAAGGGCCGAGAGAGGCTATAGGCTATATGTGTGCATTTTGCATGATGGTGAGGAAATTGCTGAAAGAAGGCAAGGATGCCTTCACAGGTCCCACTCAAAGCCCGCGTCCCTAGTTATGGCTCTGTCTACGAGAAAGAGACTAACTAGGACACCCAACGAGAGGGCGGCGGTTGTCTAGGACGAAGGGGAAGAGGATGGTTTGAGGGCCTTTGGAACTTATGCTGCAGTATTGATGCATAATACACCGGCGTCCTAGTGTTAGGGCAATGAAAACCCAGGTTGAAACCCTGGCAGCATATAGTTGCGTTGGCACGGTTTGATGGAGGCCTCAACCCTGAGTCTGTCGGCTAATCGGATTGGTTCTGATCTCGTCAGCACCTAGAGTGTGGAGAAATTTATAGCTTTCTGATCTGGCGTAGTGACGGGGACGTCGCTTAATATGGTCCGGTGAGCTGTCAGCGCGAATACCCTTACAAGGGTATCCGCCCTGTTTTTTGCAAGTGACAGAAAGGCTCGGTTAACCTGGATTTTGAGTGCCCGTACGGAAAAATGTGAGGGTCGCCCGCGCGCGGGTCAAGGTCTGCCTTGTCCCGGTAGGGAGTAGGTGGGCGCGCAGTATTTAAGGCGCACGTGTGATTTTTCCGATTGAGTGGGCGGCCGGGGTAGCCGGCCGACCCGTACTAGGCCATGAGGTTGGTTAGGGGATGAAAGTCCGCTTTTTGGCCGGCGCGCGCGGCTGAAGGTAGGATTGACATGCAGGTAGGTACATGGGACGGCCACGGCGCGGGGTGGTGGCCCGATGTGGGCACCTAGGGGCCGTGGGTATAAGTGTAGGCTGAAAAGGGGTGGTTAAGACGGTATCTTAGCCCGGAGCGCCGTGCGGTACCACTTTCACAGGCTTGAGCTTAGCCCTATTGGTTACAGCGGTGGACTGGTGTGCAGCGGACACAGGGATCGAGGCCAACGGCATACGGAGAGGAGCGGAGGAGCGCGGCGGCGAGGCTCGAGGGGTTGATGGGCCTAAGGGACTATCCCCTTTGCCTTTTATAGTTATGGGGGCCGCGGTTTCCGCCCGACTGCCGCACATTTTACGGAGTCCAATATATCAAAGCGTGTATGGTTTATCTATACCGAACTCTTGTTACTACCCCCTTTTTGCGCTCGTATGGGGACGCGAAAGCTGCGGTGGGTACGTCCATGAGCTGTTGAAATGCAAATCGGTGCTTAATGACGGAACTTGTGGGTGAGGCCAGACATTCCGTCTTGACTGGGGCCGGCTGCCTTCGCGGCCAGGCTGGGTCCTCTGGGACACCTGTTAAGGACGGAACAGGGCCGAGGTGGCCTGCCTGGCCTCTGCATAAGGACGACACATAAAAGTCCGGAATGAATCCGGACGCGGATCGTGCCAGTTACGCACGGGCCAGTGGGGGTAAGGCGAGGGGAGTTCGAGGAGAACCCGAGTGAGAGACAGACCGGGTATATGTCAAGAAGAAGGCTGTATAGTTTCGGGTATCAGCCCGGGCGTAGTCCGTTGGAGCGCCCGTCAAAAGTTGTAATACGGAGGAGATCTATCTGGCCCCTGTGTAAGTTGGAAGAACCCGGACGCAGATCGCGCCGGGTACGTACGGAAAAGGGGGCTCGACTGATGGTTGTTTGCTGAGGTGGCCACGAAGTGCCAGCCTGGCCCTGAGTCCTTTGGGGCATCTGTTGAAATCGGAACAATGTAGAGAAGATTCGCGTGGCCCGTGCGCAAGGTCTACATGTATAGAGCCCGAGAGGGGGGCTAGGGCCATGCGGGAAGAGCTAAGGGGGCGGAGCGAATCGTCCGTGGGAAGAATCTGAGTGCGGAAAAGAAAATCTGCGTAGTCAAGGAGGGAAAGTCCGAAAGGGGGGGGGACCCGACGGTATGTAGGGAAGGTTCATGTGCGGAGGTAAGGTGGCTTTTGGCCGCGCGAACTTCGAAGAGCCGCGGTGCAGGGCGAGTAAAAGTCCGTCGCGTCGGCCGCTGAAACTGGGACGATATAGAGGAGTTGGCATGGCCCCTACGCACAGAAAGAAAGATATAAAGCGAGGGAGGGGCCGTACGTACCGACTTTTTGCTACCAGTTTCTGCGTTGTTGAAGTCGAACACTGAGGGAGCGGCGCTACGGGGAAGGAGTAACGGAGTGTTGACGACAACCATGGGAAGCAGGGTGAATGAGGGCGTGAAGGCGGGGTGGGTACACGCGGACTGGAGGAGAGCTAGAGATGGCGGAGGGGCCGGCAGGGCGCAACAGAGATCGGGTGTTTCGCGCGTGTGTCGGCGGTTCTTGGTGGGGAGGGAGTCATGTTAGGGTTCTCGAGGCGCGCGAATCCGAGTGTATGGTTAGTTTCCGCAGAAGGGTAGTAGAGGGAGAGGGTTGGGACAAAGGAGGTGCGTGAAGCCGTGGTGGGAGTGAAGYGRAACCGGGGGTGTATCTGCCMGGGACATGGCAGAAGGTTCGTTCGGATTTGGTCTGGTCAGGCCAAGGAGGAGACAGCGGGAGGCGGGTGGTGGGATTGGCGACTTACCTATCAACCGGGGCTTGCTTGGTATGCCGGCAGGAAGTAGCCACGCCCAGAGTRAAACGGYGGAGTGTTGGACGCGTTTGGYCGGGCTTCTGCGACAGGTTCACAACGATTCCTTGGCTCGCAATGGTGGGCTCGCGAGTGGCGGTGAGTYGCTCCCCAGTTTCRCCGAGGACCTACCTTGATTTGGCTCCTCGAAGGGATTAGCTGAGGGGAGGTSRATGGGAAGAGGRCAATGCGTAGCTRGCCGGGTTKACTTGATCGATCGGGGTCGTACGCYGAGCTGCGGGYGGCRTACCTKGCMATGCTCCTGTGAGAAAGWYCTCCTTGCCTTGGTATATCGCAGGCTKCTCGGTTGACGCGYACACARGGCTGTTGAAWTGCAGACGGGGTTTGGATYCGGCKGTGGCTGGGGTCGGGTTACCTGAGTAAGCATGGACTGATAGGAGGGGAGGTTGGGGGTTCACTCGTTGACCAGCGTGCRGCCCGTCCCAGCAGTCRGAGCGGTAAGGAGGCCAGACGCGGRTTGAAGGCTGAGCACGGYCTATCCTGCGRAAYAGACGCGAGGGCGGCGGCGGAGCTAAAGGCTYGCCAACTAGCTGGGGTAGTGCTCTAATTGCTGGTCAAGGTTGCAGTAGACCGGCCGCGGGATTTACAGACTCGTCAGTTGGCCGGTGTGCTGCCTCCCCATTAGCCCGCTCATGCGAAGAAGGGTGGCCG